CTTCAACCAACAGCAACAACAGTGCGCACACAACACACACACACACACGCACACACACACACACACACACACACACACAGACGAATACAAACACATACACATTTTTTATCCATTTAGCTTTTAATTTTTAGCCTTTAGCTTAGTTTCAGTAAATGTTTGCTGGGATTCAGAAGTTTTACTTAATAAATACAAAAATCATATTTTATTTACTCACATTTGGTTTTGGATCTGAACTTGATTTCAGTTTAGTTCTACTTCTAAAAATGACCATGTTTTAATTTTGGTTACCGAACTGATGTTTTATGTTGGTTTATTTCCTTTTATAATCTTTGACACACACTACGTGTTTTCAAAAGGCACACACACAAACACGCCCGCGCACACACACACACACACACAGGCTGACAAACAAACACAAACATGCAGGAGCCAGAGAGCGTGGTAAAATAAGGGTGAATAGTGAAAAGCACCTATTTATCCCGGCTCCCTCAGGTCTCCTGGGACACACACTGGTAGGAACAATGACCGGTTTAAGTCCATCCACTGACCTACACACACACACACACACACACACACACACACACACACACACACCCACACACACACACTGGCGTTTATGTATAACCTGACTCACACACACTTAATTATGTCTGAGACGCACATATAAATACGGTTTCACACGCACACATTTGCTACTGAACATATACACTCTCACACTAGATCCACTTTCTGTCAGTGTTGGTATTCAGCTCCTCAACTTAGTCAAAGTACAGACACTCCACTGCGAGTAAAAGTCCTGCATTAGTTCAGTAAAAGTAAATATTATCAGCAAAATGTACTGAAATTACGAGAAGTAAAAGTACTCATTGGTCAGTAAAATGTTCCTCGTCAGAGTTTCACTATTATATATGATGTTTCTTGATTAATATTACTGCTGCATGCCTGTGTAAGCTGCATTTTACTGCTGTAGATGTTTGAGTTTAACTACTAATGCTCAGTGTAAAGTAGCATAAAATGGATGTGGGCCACTCAAGTAGAGTACAATTACCTCAAATTCATACTTTGATTTTCTGTTTAAAGACATTTGAGAACTAACTTTGAGACTCCATACTGACCACTTGAGTGAAGATTGAAAGACTTCTTAAGTCCTCCAGAAAACCGTTTGCTTCCATTCATTATTGTACAGTATGCAACGCCATCACAATAAATAGAAAGTTTGCACTTCATTCTTTTTAATTAAAACTAAAGACATTCTGAGATTCCTCTGTTTCTCCCCTTTTCTTTATCTCTGTGGCTTTAAAATATACGTAGCTTCATTTTCCCACCCTTCCTCTCGCTTTCTCTTCCTCTCTCTTTGTTGATTTCTTTCTCTTCTCGTTCTTTATTTTGTCTCTGTCTCCTTGTCCCCCTTCCCCCAGTTTTCCCACCTCCATGCTCCATCAGAAGTACCACAAAGCCTGCCCCCTGCCCTAGCAACCACCATGCCGCCGCCTCTGCCCCGGCAACAAGCCGTCGTTAGGGCTTCTGACCCTTGACCCCATCACAGCTGCTCAGCCACCGCATATCCCACAATCCCCTGCTCCCTGCTCGCTCCCGTGACCAGGGGGGTCACACACGGGAATCAGATCTGAATAAGGCCGAAATCTCTTCCACTATGTCCTCTGTCCATTTCCAAAAGAGGAGAGGTGAGGAAGCGAGGAGAAGTGAGGAGAGGAAAGGAGAAAAGAAGAAGAGACGAAGAGATGAGGAAAGAAGAGTAAATGAAAGGAAGGAAGGAGAGGGCAGGAAAGGAAACAAGGACAGAATATGAGAGGAGAAAAGAGTCGCTAGGCCATGTTTACACGGATGAAAAAAACAAGAAAGATGTAAAGATATCAAAGGGGCCTTGTGATGTTTTCTAATGGTTCTATGTCCAGGTGTTAATCAGAAGCTTGACATTACATAATATCACACTTCATGCTTTTGCAACCCTATGACACTTTAATGAGAAACCAGTAGTTTCAATTTTCCTCTTTTTGGGGAGCTTTTAAGAAAGATTTATTGAAAGTTACAGCTGACCAGACCGCCACTTACGCAACAACAAAACGCCAAGGCCGTGCCGAAACCAAAGATCCTACAGATAGACGTCAATGCAAGTTGTTGTGGAAGGTCGACTGTGGTCTCCTTGTTGAAAGTCACGGCGGCTTCCCTGAAGCATAGCGCCCACCCCCCGGTTCCATCCTCAGGTAAAAACTGTTAGCTCAGTCAGCACTGTTGCCCTTGTTTGCACTGTTAGTGGTGATAGCACCATTAGCTGCGAGCTGCCGACACACAGCTGTCGCCATGTTGAGAGTCGTGGGGAGGGAAACCCTCTGCTCTGATTAATCAAACTCAGCACCTTTAATAAATGAAGGTTGATCGCCGTCGTGCTGTCAGATGATAGTTTATACCACAATCATTATATGTAAACTACAGTGTTTTCCCGCACATTTCTTTTATCAAAGACTGAGTGTCACCGCCTCCGAAGAAGCCCTTTAACTATATATATATTCAATTATGTTCGACTCAGCTGACTGACTCCAACTTCCACTCCTTTCTCTGTTCAGCTAGCAGTTCGACATAAACAGCTTTCTTATACCATTAAAGTGCAGTGATCAATTAACAACAACATGCTTCAACACAGCTGTGAGAACAACAACAGGAACAATCGGCCAAATCCTTGGACTGTGTGTGTCTCAATAACAAAGCAGATCAGTGTGCTATTTGAGTGGCTCTGTGGGTGAGTCCTATTGTGTGTATGCAGGGTCGAATGTGTGAATGCCTATGCGTGTGTGTGTGTGTGTGTGTGTGTGTGTGTGAGTGTGTGTTTTGCCTATACATTTGAACACCAAGTGTCTTCAGGAGGCTTCACCAGAAGCAGTGAGGAATTATTACAGACATTTCAGATGCACTCACTTCAGTTTACCTCCGAATGTTTAAATAACGAGCCCAAACTGTGACAACACAAGCCTGTTTCTTACCTGTGTGTCGTCTTATTAGATTTCGCTGTGTTGCCAGATCTCTTGTTGGGCACCAATTTATAACAAATCTACATGAAGGCCAAAACTTTAACAAAAATAAGCCCCAAATTGTAATCCGATCTTTTTATACAGCTCTTATAATCAATATCTTCATATTAACCATGGATCAAATTACTTTGTAAAAGATTTAAACAAATCTCAAATGATTCTGCTTTTTCACTTTGGTTCACTCTCACCGCTCTCATAGTGTAGTATTCGTCAGCTGGCAGCTGTTTTCAGTGAGAGGACTGATAAACCCACTGTGTTGCCTGCATATCACTTAACAGCAGGCAGGCAAAGTTAGCAACGAACATGTAACATCTAGCAGCTTCAGCACATGATCCTTTGGTCAACAGTCCGTGGAGACCAAAACAGAGCTAAAAGGACTGGGAATATTGGGCTTTGCCAGGTGGCAAAATAAATGCTAAAGTAGCTCTGTGTCTGATGCGTGTGTAAATAAGCAGCTGTTAAAATAGCTAAAAAGTTCACTATCAACTCTATAAGGTGATAATATTTCAGTATAGTTTGTTTCCACTTCCCCCAAATTGATTTCAGCTCCTTAGTGTTTGCTTGTATTTTTTTACTCAAACATACAAAACAAAAGGAAAAATTCCCAAACCCATTATTCATCTCCGCATTACCCTTTTGTTTATTTAATCAAGACCTTTTCATGGCAGACTTATGCACACATATACAGTATATATGGCAATGAAATGCAAATGAAGAGGAATCTTCAGTTGTTTTCTGTGTGGGTTTTGAAGTGATATAAATTGTAAAAATGTCACTCCCATACAATACAAGAAGTCAAGGTGCTGGATGGATCAAAAAACACAGGGCTCTCACCCAGGAGACTTCTGTTTGAGTCCAGAGTGAATTAGGTGCTTTTCTTGCACAACAAAGTAGTTTTGTTGGGTTTTTTCTTTTGTTTGTTAGCCCGTGTTTGAAATGTTTTGAAGCTGCTACCGTTCGGTCCAGGAGGGCTTCCCTTGAAACATAATTGCAGAATGCAGTTTAGTTGTATGGGAAGGTCATTTTGTAGGAGACCGGGGTGTGTGAATCTTTCAGATCAATTTGAGGAGTTGGTTTGCATCTTTTTTAAAATCATTTTATCATGCATTGTGAGACGGGCACTGGTCTGGTCTGGTCCCTGTCTCGATACACTCTGGTCTTGGTCATGACTTGAAATTAAATGACAATCACTGACAAAGAAATTATAGAAAGAAGCCAAAAGGAACTTCAGTCTTTTTTGTCATCCTTTGGCAGTTGGACCGACTCAGCAGTCAGCATCTTACAGTAGTGGTTTGAGGGAAAAGGTCAAATTGGTTCATAAGAAAATAGAAATACAAATAAATATGTGTTATAATACATGCCTTTGATATCAGTGTCTCCAAGATGGCAGCCGACACGTGCTGCTCTTTGCAGTTTCCACGGGTGGTTCCGGCAGAACTACTTCCTGCCTGTTTGTTCTGAAGTGTCAGAGCTGCGGTCGGTCCGGTGACGTGCGACGCACAGGAGACGCTGTCAGTTTGAGGGGATGACAAGTGGAGAACAGCAGCACAGTGTGGTGAAACTAACCACAGAAACGACAGATCCGATTACAAATACATCACAGAAATGAAAAGAGTAAATAAAAAAAGGAATGAACTTTAGTTTGGACTTAGCGGGGGATTGTATTCAGCGGGGCAGTGTTTGCCTCTCTGCGTGCGTTCGGGTTCCAGGTGCTGTCCCCAGTGTAACCTGAGCTGGTTCTTTATTAATAAATAATGCATCTGAATCAGTCGACCGGTAGCTCCGGCTTATTCTGCCATTTGCCCTCCAAGAGGACACACACACACACATACACACACACACATATACAGAACAATACACAACATCACAGAGACAACCTGACTGTTTTCAGCTTCAGGATTCAATTTCAGGGATTCTTTATTTTGTCGTGTCACCTGGAGCCACCCACCGATCATGAATCCTGAATAGTAAGTGTTGTTTCTTTCTCTGTGCTGTGTGTTATTCACTACAAGACACACATATACTGTGTACCAGTGGGAGACACTGACATCTGCTCTTTGACAGTGACTGCTGACATGAAAGTTTACTTGTTTCAGACCTGGATTAAGTGTTCAGCGAGATATCTTTGCAGTTTTGTGTTGGTTGTTGTGTAAATGCTGCCCCATATCTAAATACTGATACGATTACAATTTAAGCTTGTTTGTTGGTACGAATGTTTTAGCTCCGTCCTATGATTGAGTGATGATGAGTTGTTGATGATATGTTGCTTGAATTCCATATGTGTATGAAATACAAAATAGATGATCTTGTAGTTTGTACTGACTCTGAGATATCTGTCAGTGACAGAGCCGAGAATCGAGCATCCAGGGTTACAGAGCAAAACACGTCTCGTTCTTTTTCTGCATAGACAATTCTGGGTAACTTGCAGTTGGATCACTAAGCCCCTGTGGCTCTTGGGAATTGTAGGCATTAGAGCCAGCTCAGTCGCCACATCAAACTGTGCTCTGTAGTGTTACTTTTGGGAGCAGCACACTGGAAGATTTTTCTTTTTTCTATTTTCCTCTGACAGTTATTCAAGTAATAAGAGGTTATTTTTAAAGGCAATCTGCCACATTTTATAATCACTATAAAAAAATATGTAGTTACAATATAGTACATACTCAAACAAAGTTGCAAACTCTGCAATACTGGTATGTTTATGGACAAGACGCAACAGTACAGGAGGCTTGTTTACACCCAAGAACTTTAAGACTCTACTTTATTTGTCTTTTATAGCTGTTTACAAAAGATACCAACATAATAAGCTACAAAAGTGACTTAATGACAAACAGGAACAGCCCCCTCCCCCTTTACTGCATCCTAGTGGAAGACACTGAACTGGAAAATGTTTTTGTGTATCGATGTGTGTGTCCTAATCCAGTGACTACTTGTTCAAACTTCTTCTGATTGGTGACTCTGGAGTCGGAAAGTCATGTCTGCTGCTGCGCTTCGCGGTAGGCTTAGAAAAAGCACACACACACACACACACACACACACACACACACACACACACACACACAACTTTGTACTTCTATCTGCGTGAGGACACTTATTGATATAATGCATTCCCTATCCCCTTAAAAAAAAGAAGCCATAAAAGCCTGGCCGCCCTTACCCTGATTCTAACCTGAACTTTACAACCAAGGCTAAACCCTGAAACAGGCACTAGAAGGTCTGTCCCAAAGTGAGGATTGACATAAATATCTTTACTTCCCAAAAAATGTCCTCACTCTGAATGTCCAGAACATTGGTCCTCACAAAGACAACTGTACAAGTACACACATACACACACACACACACACACACACACACACACACACACACACACACTTCATTTAAACACCTAACTGCGTATTGTTGATCATGTGTCACGCACCCCCTCAGGATGACACCTACACTGAGAGCTACATCTCCACCATCGGAGTTGACTTCAAGATCAGGACCATCGACATGGACAGCAAGACAGTGAAACTACAGATTGTAAGAGACAGTCGGCAGGGTGGTGGGGAGTGGGTTGTTATTAGGAAACACCACCTTCTTTGTTTGCTAAAAGGGGCTGAATTTGATATTCAGAGCATATCTATTGCCTCCACACAGCTCTCAACATGACACGACGGCTGAGCCGGTAGCTAGAAGCTAATGGCGCAAACAACGGCAACAGTGCTGACACAGCTAACAGTGTTTACTTGGGGGGAGGGGGGACTGGAGAGTGGGTACTACGCTTCCGCTGCGACGCCGTTGGTCGGGGCAGTCTTAACCGCCTTATGAGAGCAGTGCAGAATGGCGGCTGTGAGCTAACCAGTGGAGCGCGCTAACATGCACTAAAAGGCATGCACTGCTAGCCCAGCAACGTAAACAAAGACAGAGATGCTCGGCTTACAAAACACACACACAAACACACAGACTTCACTCCACTTTATATTTACATAGATAATAGTTGTTTCCTGCTATATTAATGCTCTGAATATCAAATACAAACCCTTCAAAGCTAAAAAAGTCAGAGAAAGCTGTGTCATGTAAAAGCTTGGTTGTTCTGCAGTCAGGACTGTCTGACTGGCACATCGTCCTTTGTGTGTGTGTCCCTCAGTGGGACACAGCAGGTCAGGAGAGGTTTCGAACCATCACCTCCAGCTACTACAGGGGAGCCCACGGCATCATCATCGTCTACGACGTCACGGAGCAGGTCAGCGGGTGTTTCTGCCATGGCCTCAACAACACAATAGGAGAGAGCTTAAACATTAACTTCTCTCCTCCTCCTCCTCCTCCTCTCTCTCTTTCCCCACAGGAGTCTTTTAACAATGTGAAGCAGTGGCTGGACGAGATAGATCGCTACGCCTGTGAGAACGTCTCCAGGCTGCTGGTGGGAAACAAGTCAGACCTCGTCAGTAAGAAAGTGGTGGACCTCGCCACTGCTCAGGTAGCGGGCTGCACAACTCCGGATACTATGAAACAACATCGCTGTAGAAGCTGTGATGCACATTAAACACCAGAAAACTGAATTGGCTGTTTTAAGAAAGTACTGACAACATTGTTATCTAGACCTACTTGTAGGTTTGTCCTGATGGTAGTGCCAAGTACCTACCTGTGTCATATTTGAATGCTAACTACAATGCTAATGTTTTGCCTGCTACAAGTACAGCTGAGATCCGTTATTAGTTCACGAGTTTCTATCATGAGGATTATTTTACCTGATGGTGGCGCTATATCAAGACTAGAGTTACTCTGCAGATTTGTTTTATTGTCATACATGTGAACTCATCAATTATGATGGTGTAGTTTTAAAATACCCAACAGAATATAAAGAAGTGACAACACTTTTAATATTAAAATGCATATATGTCCACTCATCAATAATGTAAGGCTCTGCAGGGATTCATTTCCACAGCACTCACTTTTAATACATGAGCACATGTTACTGCTAATACGTTTCAATAGAAGTATGAATGCAGAGCTTAATGGAGTACTTTTACACTGTGATGATTTAGCATATTAATAGATTTGTGATTTTTTGTTACACTTCATCCCCCACCCGGATTCCTTGCTCCACCCCTCTTCCCACGCCCCTCTGTCCCTCTGCAGGACCTGGCCTCGTCTCTCAAGGTCCCCTTCCTGGAGACGAGCGCCAAGAGCTCGGACAATGTGGAGAGGGCTTTCCTCACCATGGCCTCGGAGATCCACAAGCGCGTGGCCAGCGAGGGAGGGGGGATGCAGGGCGAGTCGAAAGACGCCAGGGCCCAAAGTGCCAAGATCAACAGCGCCCCGCTGTGGCTGGGAGGGGAAAAACAGATGCAGGAGGCCAGCAACTGCTGCTGAGCAGGAGGCATGACCGCATGGTTCAAAACAGAGATGTGTCATTTTAAAGGCATCTGTCGAGTTTCAGGACGATGTGATTTTGTGCTTTGGACACACATTTATTGTCAGAATGTTGACATCTTTGCTACTAAACAAAAAATATGACCTTTCAGGAAGAAAAACGTGTGTTTTTAGCTTGATATTATCGGTATTTTCTAATCAAATATATGATGACATTTCTGCTTTATTAAGGGGCAGAGACAAACAGATGACATAAATAATTGAAACTCTGCCAAATTAACAACTAGGACAGTGTGAGTTTGGGAAGAGTTTTATGAAGACAGGCCCACACAGAGGACCACTTCCTGCATCACTCCTTTAACTCAAGATAAAAGATGGTAATAGCAAAAAGGGAATTGCAAACCTGTCACATGCAACAATGTTTGAATAACAGAATGAGAAGAGGTGTATCAGCAGTTCCAGCTGTAGCTGTTATGGATAAATTAACTGTGTCATTTTAACTGTGACTTCCCACCATTTCCCTTGAATGGTGATTGAGTGTATTTTACCAGCTTTTGTTGTATTTCGCATGTTGTTTGCATATTCAAATAAAGACATCTCAGGAGTCTTGATGCTGAAAATACGACTAAAAGATCTGAGATACATAAACACGGGCCAACATTTTTTGGCAATCATTTTATAACTAATAGAGTTTTTGTGGTACAAAGAGAATCTGAACCTTTTTAGAATGCCTCGTTAAGATCTGCCTCCTCAGTTTGTATCAGCACGTCACAGCTGCATCGAATCAAATCAACACCGACCAGACAAGCCGAGACGACAGTCACACCTTATCATGTTCACAGTGAAAATGAGCCAATAAGAGTTCAACAAATATGAGAATCAGTCAAAGTTCAAAATAATGACACATAAAAACTCTGAGCACTGGCCGGTTCAGCCTGGTTTGGGAGTCTTCCAAACTTCCCCATGCCCCCCCGGTAAATATGTAATGTGTTTTTGATCCGTCACCTCTCTGGTAGGCTACACAAATGTAAAGTTAAAGCAAGTGAAGATCACCATGCATGGTGGTTAAAAGAAACCAACACTGACGGGGACAGCGGCAGATATCCATAAAATGTTCATCATTGGTCGTTGTTAAAGTTTCAACAAAAGACAGATGCTGTCATGCTATTGAGTTCTAATATGCAAAGCGGATTGGATTTCTGGACCATGACTAATAGTAGAGCTAAAAGTCAAGATATCGAAGCCTCTGCTGCTATTCTTTTTTAATCCATCTCTACGGAGTACTCCAACTTTATGGAACTGGAATAATACGTCACTGTAGTACTCCTTTAAAATGCAATATAAAGGGTTGACCTGTTCGAGTGAGCCAGTGTAACACTGCCACCATTCAGACACAGAGTTGCAGTTATCAAGGTGGGAGGACATGACATGGAGGAGATGCTCAGCTATGTTGTTGCTTAGCACTGATCTAATTGTTATAGTATTGCTTAGTTTCAGGAAGCAGGAATTTAAATGTGCTAATTGATTTTAATGTCAGTTGGCCAAAACAGGAGGTTATATCATCAGCAATCAGTTCAAATCCAATTTGCCGAGCTTCATTAGTAAGAATAAAATGTTCTGTTGAAGGAAATACGAAGACTCAGAGCAGCTGTTCAAGGCGTCCACATTACTAAACCTTCAAAAGGTTCTGTGATAAAAACCTTCTACATCGGCAAGTCTTTGGTCAGAGACCAACTTGAAGGCAAGAACAGGTAGCAAGTGAATGCAGCGGTGCAAAAGCTTCAAGGAACAGCCCTTGTGTGGCAAGGGAATTGTAGTCCTGCATGGGTATGATGGACTACAAGTTAAAAACAAAGATATAATATGCAAATTACACAATGTATACAACAAGATAGAAGGATCAATTGTAGTTTATTCATAGCAAATTAACACCCAGTGGATCCAGAAACAGCTCTCTCTGGCGTACCCTCCTGCCAACATCACCCCCTCTGTGCAGAGTAATCTGCTGGAACCATGAGGAGGGAAAGTGGGATGCGAGTGGTTATTAAAGTGACACGGATACAAGATGGTTCATATCGTCTCGTCTTGTGGAACTTCTGTGTTCAGTAATTCTTTGCGACGAGGGCGGATAGTTGTATCACAAAGGAATTTCAACAGGTTGGTCAACATTTAAATGTGCTGCGTGTGATAACTCTCCTTGCTGGGGTTTTCACAGTCTGAGGATGTGTAAAGTCATCGGTTGTCCAGGTCGGATGGCATTGTCACCACAGGGGTAGTTTTATTGTGTAAGGGGAGAACGGAGATTCTGTTTAGAATGCGGCCATATGTTGGCTCGAACCAGTTTATTTCACAGGTTAGCTCCTGTTTCATAAAGGCTGGATCTGTGATCAAGATATTTCAGTATAGTGTTCTTAGCAATATGAGCCTGAGGAGTGTAAATAGTAATACAAGACACTGAGCAATGTTTTTCCTTTCTGATCTAGACTTAGATGGAACAATATGGTGAATCTCATTTATATACATTGAGTCGAATAACCGTTTTCTGAGACGCCTTGTTTTGTCTCCAGGGCTCTCTGTTTGAAGTTTCTATCAGAATGGCAGAAGCTTCTTAATCTGTTCAATTTGTTTTTAGGTTATCCAGATTTTAGGTCTCTAGGTTTGCCACTGCCAGAAGAAAAGTGTTTCTGTGATCTGTTTCTTTTTTAATTCTGTGATACGGCTGCCGTTAATCCGTTAACTCCATCCACATCAACAAAGGATGCTTGTTACAGGTCGTGCTCAAGAGAGACATTTAAATCAGGATTATGACCGTTTCGATATGCACATATTAAAAATCACATTTTCCCTGAAAAAGGCATCCAAATATCTGTTCCATGTGAGGATTATTATTCTTTTGACAAAAAGGATTGTAATCAATATTGAAAACAGAAAAAATAGAAACCTGTATAATAGGTTGGAACAAAATTAGATCCCATAGGTGCGCCTTTTAGTTGCAAGTAAGGAGAAATAATTGATCTTAAAAGGCAAAGGATAAAAGAGTAAAGCATCTGGTCCTCTCTCATTGGATATGCTTGTATAAAAGGCTCCCACATAGGTAACCAATACATTCTCCAGTTCTCAGGTAGATCTGTAATTTCCGGGATTATATTAATGACATAGAATCAATATAACAATTGTAATTTGTTAATATTCATATTATTATGTACTTTTTTATTTTTTCTGAAACTTTCATGCCAATAAAGCCACATTAAATTTGAATCTTTGGTTACATGATGGAAGCCTAACAACAACAACAACAACAATAAACAACCTTTAAAAAGGGGAATAGGACTAAAATCACCTTTCGATCTCTGTAACTATGACAAACTGGACTTCCTCAGTAGATATTAGCCTGAATATGTTATATCTTTGCTCTGGTCTGAGTGATGGTTCTATGTGACACAATGATTCACTTCAGATTGATGCAGGTGCAGTGCATGGAGGGCAATCTCAGGGGCAAAGCACTTCCTTTCAGTTTGCCAGTCGCCCTCCCCCAGGAGCGTGAGTCTTCAAAGTGTTGTGTAGAAAAAATAAAAATCAATGTTTAATGACTGCCTTCTTTTTTAAAATATAAATTTAATGATGTCATGTTTCAGAGTTCCTCCAACAGCATGTGTTTCTGCCAAGGTTAGGAAAGATGCTGACCTCAGAACTGATGTCCTGCACTTCGCTGCTTCACAAATATGAGCCACGACTCGCTGATAGTTTTTCCAATTTATTTGACTCAGAAAAGGAACATGCACTGCAAGCACCGGTACCTCTTACTGGGAAGAGGGCAAATATGAAACAGGATGAGGGAGAAAAACTAAATATGCAGGTAAACTGCTGCTCATTGTCCTTCCACTAGATGTCAGTCTTGCTCTGATTTTCAGCTCGGTTGCTGCTGCTCCTGGAGGGACAAGCTGACAAAGTGAGCCTGGCTGACAGCATCAGTCACATCTGGATTACTCATTCACCCCCCCCCAGCTCTCCTTCCTTCCCTCCACTTCTCCCTGCCTCTCTGTTTCACTTTCATCCTCTCCTTCAGGTATCACTTCCACCGCTTGTCTAACCTCAGCTTTTCCTTCATCTGGTCCCTTTTTTTGTTTTCCTTAGTCCCTCTCATCTCCCATTCTTCTCTCTCAACCAATCCCCTTCCACCTATTTCTCATCCTATATCCTTCTCCTATATGTCTCCCCCCGTCATCTCCTTCTTGCCTCTCCTCATTCCTCTTTGGTCTGACTGAGTAGCTGGTTGCTTCTTTGTCAGTTCATCCGTTTCCATTTCATTCTGATGTAGAGTATATCAAGGCATGCGCTGATGTTTGTGTGATAGCATCAACCTCACCAGCGGTGAACAGTTCAGTCCAACTATATGATACAAAAACAAACAAATATCCTGAAGTAAATAAAGACCAATAGATTGGAAAAATTATCTGAAATATGTTGCAGCACTGGATTTTAAATATGGATAGAAAGTAGTCAGAATCAACCCAATCTGGTTAATACAGTACCAATGCAACACACCAACGGGTTAACTTTGGATAAAAAGCCAACCAAGACAATAGCTTATTTTGACCCAGTGTTATTTTTAGGTTATGGTTGGGTAATTTGTCCAAACTCAAATATAGACAATTTAGACAATACCGCCACCTAGTGGCCTCCATCAGTGTTACAATTCAAAACTGAGACCAGCCGACTCAGCAGACAGTAGTAGTATTATTAAAAAAAGGTTTTAATTCGTCAGAATGAAGTAGGGACACCGGTATTGGCACTGATGTGGACCTATTTACATAGATCTGGTATTAGCCATAATGTGACCCCATTAAATACAGTTTCTTTGTCAATGACTTGACATTTGCAGTCATTCAGTCTCCGCTGTTTCTATTTCTACTGCCATTTCCATTTAAAATACAGATTCACACTGGTACTGGATCAGTACTCAACAGACATTGAAATTGGTAGTGAGAGAGAAATTGCTGGATCAGCGCTTCACTAATATGCAGGGTGAGGGTTGGCAGCAGGATGGCAGCCAAACAAAACAAAAAAGGGACCAGGCAAGCAGATCAAAATCACAAAAACAACAAGCCGAAAAAGG